TGAGTTTGAAATCTGTGTCCAAAGCGCACGCCTTCACCACTCGATTGTATTTCTCTTCATTATATTGAGAGCCAAACAGAATATTCTGTCGAACACTCGCTATGAAAGCCCACGACTCCTGCGGCGCGTACGACACCCGACCCCTCACTACCACTCGACCCGACACTAGCGATATCTCATTCAGTATTGACATCAATAGTGAGCTCTTTATAAGTTAAATAATAATTAGTAATAATCGTAATAAAAATTCATATATTAAAACCCATACCTTTCCGCTGCCAACCGACCCGACGACAGCCAACAGTTGTCCGGGTTCTACACTCAGACTAATGTCCCGAAGCGTGGGTTCAGTCATATCCTAATGAATATTAAGACAAAATGAGTTGATTTAAAACCCAACTAAACATTATTAGACACATTAAAATGCAGTAAACAATTCATACTTTATTCCAACGAACGCTCATATTATCCATAAAAACGCCTTTTTCTTTATTACTAAAAGTGTTTTCCATTACTCCGAGAATTATCTCATTTTCTCCCGAAATGAACGCCTCGTTGTCTTTCCCTTCCCTCTCATCCAAACCACTCATCTCTTCGAGTAATAGAAAATTCTATGAAATAAAACAATTTTATATTTCAAATTAAATAAAAAATTATCAAATCAATTGATTACATAAATTGACCACAATCACAGCACAATTACCTGGATACGTTTGATGACTATGATTAACTCGCTGAGAGCGGCTATAGCCAGGGGTGCGTTCATTCCTATTCCCCAACGCAAGGCATTAAAGTAGGCAATTGTGGCGAACGCCGTCTCCGCCGACAACTTCTCGCCCATCAGTATATATGTTAGAAAACAGGCGTATATTATAATCCGTATTAAAACAAAATACAGCGAAAGATTAACGCCTTTCAAAAACTTGATAAACGGATTTGTTTTACTTCAGCCCTGATATTAAATATACGTATATATTATTTGTTTAATAATTACAAACTATATGTTTACTAAAAACTATTATTTGTGTCATTACTTGCGAGCGATTGCCACCAACTGTGCGAAGGGCTGTTCCCAGGCGTACATCTTTATGACACGCATTCCGGCGATAATCTCTTGCATTAAACGGATTCGACTGTCAGTTAATTCGGCCGTCTTTTCCCGTATACTTCCAAACATACGACTCATTAGTACTTGAAATGGTATAAACAGCGCGAGTATTCCCATTCCCGTCAGACACGCCCACCGCAAGTGTGACCACAACAGGTATAACACAATCGCCGACTGCAGTGGCGCCACAAACAATGATCGCGAATAAATTGCAAACTGTTATTTCAAAATAAAAATTACTTTGGTTAAATACACTTTACATCGTTATGTTTAATAATCTAGATATCTAGATAGATATTAATATTCAACATTTAATTGAATATTGAAAAACATTTATACTAAAATACCTGATCAAATCTCTGTATATCGTTGGACATAATGTTCAATAAGTGGCCACCAGTTGTTTGTCCGAGTGATGAATGACTTAAACGCAGTAACTTTAAAACGAAATATATAAAAATCTATTAATTATAAAGTTTACATAATATTTTTTACATTAAAATTATTTATTAATTTTCAATAAAATTACAAAAGTATACACTTTTATTAAGTAATACCTTGTGGTAGATTAGGGCACAACAAGCGGCCCGTATTCTGACCCCCACTTTGCTGAACGCGGCCCAATTTAGATTTAGGACAAACAGGTATATACTTCCGGTCAACACAATACCCACGGCTGCCCATATGGCCCACCACTGGCTAGTGTTGGGGTCATTGTTGAAATATCTCACCAAATAAACTATACAATACGACTGAAACAAACTCAGTCCCAATTCCTGTTTGATTGGAAATATTTTTATAATAATTATTTTTAATATAATCTATGTATATTTTACCTTGATTGCATCGGGGATATAAAGGACAATAAGTTCGGGTCCGAACGATGTGAAAATAGCCCACAATAACGATGATTTGCCTTTACTTTTCAATTGATTATTCCATTCGCTATACAAATACATACAAATCATTATATTGAAGAGCTTAACCCCTCGTTGACGTCTGTTTCTCGTCCATTGGAGTGTCGGCAACTATTGTCTCTCATTGGTAGTGGCGGAGACTTCGAGGGGCGCTCTACCTGAAACTCTATTACTCATAATGTATTCAATTAATACACAATTGTTTATATGAAACACAGTTTAATAGCAATTTATAAAGTTTACATTTCACACAAATAGTTATAATAGGCAAATTAGGAGTTACTCTTAAGAAGTGTGCTCTCTACGATCCGAAGCCCAAGCTTAGCTTTTAGGTAATGAAACACAGTTTAATAGCAATTTATAAAGTTTACATTTCACACAAATAGTTATAATAGGCAAATTAGGAGTTACTCTTAAGAAGTGTGCTCTCTACGATCCGAAGCCCAAGCTTAGCTTTTAGGTAGAGTATTAGGGTTTATATACACCGGGCTTTTGATTATCAAACATATTATTGGCTACAAAAATCACCCCATAATCTATGCTATAAAATTATTGGGTAAAGTGACAATAGAACAGTACTGATGAAAACGTTTACAATTAATTGTCGGTGTATCTGTTAGAGATAAACAGGATATTTGAGTATAAAAGATAAATTTTGAAAGGATATCAGTATAGCTCTACAATATCTATTCACTGATGTCTCTATGACTTATGAACGATGAGATTCAGTCAACATATAAAATAATAGTTATTATGAATGATATCAACTGTTGATTGTTATAACATTCTATTCAGTGATTGTCAGTTGAGACTCGAAATGAACACTTCCCGAGTAAATCCTGTCCCGGATTTAGTCCACGTCTCTCCAATCTAAAAGAGACCGTTTACTCTATGTGCACAAATATTTTTAAACGGCCTCATATTATCATAGTTGTTACAAAATGATATGGTTCACATGTTGTCATTGGTTAGAATATAAAATTCAACTATAATTTACCGTAAAGTTTTAATTATAATTAAATAAAAATAAATATTTATTTTTTTAAAATTTGTATTTATTAATAAAACCGGTTCTCATAATTTTATTTTAAAACATTAATAACAATTAAATATATAGTTAAAACATTACATGAATTTAGATAAACATTAAACAAGTATAATTAAGACGACATGAGTCTAAGGCCAGACGTATACAAAGTACTAAATCTTTTGCGGACATTTCCTCTCATTATATATAAAATATATTTACTTTAAAGTAAAAGTGTACATTTTACATTACATTATTATAAGAAGAGAGAGAGAGAGAGAGAGAGAGAGAGAGATGACAAAAATTTATATATTGAAATTTGATATTTTTAAAACAATTAAAAGAAAATTGACAATAATATTAAACATAAAATAATTGGCGTAAAATTACTCATTTTACTGAATAAATTTAATAAGCAAGAACATTTTAGAGAACCATAAGATTGTGACGTAAGATAGTTACTATCATTATTTATTATCAGGATTGCGACCACCACGAGAACCATCAGAATTATTACCACTTTGACCACCACGTTTACCACCACTTTTACCACCACGTTTACCACCACTTTGATCACCACGTTTACCACCTGGTTTACCACCATCATTATCACCATCATCATGTCCAGAATTACCACCATCACCATGTCCAGAATTACCACCATCACCATGTCCAGAATTACCACCATCACCATGTCCAGAATTACCACCATCACCATGTCCAGAATTACCACCATTATCACCATTATCTTTTTTATTACGATTTTCAAGCCACTTATCTTTGTTAGGCTCTTTGCAATAAGGTGTCTTGTCTTCTATGCCATTGTCGTCTGTATACGTCCAGCAAACTAGCGTTTCAACGCATTTTGTTTTGCATGCGTTTTGATTCTTCAACTTTACCCATTTGTCGGCCATCAATTGATCAGGCACCAACGCTACCACTACCACCATGGTCAACATTATTGCCACCATGTTCATGTTGTTATTGTTGTATGTGTTACTTCTCGATGCTTTACAATTAAACTGAGAAAATGTAATTTTCAGTCTAAAAATGTTGATCACATATGGTATTTTAATTAATTTAGTAGTTATATTTATGACGTGATTTAGTAATATGATAACTTGCTAGTTTTAAAATTGGCACATTTATTCAATTTTATTGTTCTTGTATAACAATAAAATTGTGTTATGAATAACTCCCGTGTAATATAATAAAACATTATAATGTACATTATATATTGGTATATAAATATTTTGTGCCCATTCATACAAATAATAATGTGAATTTAATTAATTTTTATGTATTTTCAATTTTATTTTTAATTTAAATAAAAAATTCAATAGTTTATAAATTGGTTTTTTAAAATATAATTAATTACCAATACAGAATTGATTTAATTCACCTTTCACTCTATCACTCACTCACTCACTCTCTCTCTCTCTCTCTCTCTCTCTCTCTCTCTTCTTATAATAATGTAATGTAAAATGTACACTTTTACTTTAAAGTAAATATATTTTATAATGAGTAATTTTACGCCAATTATTTTATGTTTAATATTATTGTCAATTTTCTTTTAATTGTTTTAAAAATATCAAATTTCAATATATAAATTTTTGTCATCTCTCTCTCTCTCTCTCTCTCTCTCTCTATCACTCTCTATCACTCTCTATTGCATTTGAAACTAAAATTCAAAATATAATTAATATTCATAAATATTTTATATTTATGATGTTAAAACAAATCAATAATGGGTTGATATGTAAGTTATATTTTACAATTATCATCCACAATTACTGATCATTACAAGCAAAATTAAAATGATAGTGTGTTTTTATAATGTAAATAAAGAATTGACAATGTAAAAACGTTAATGAGAAAGATGGTTAAATTCTGGTGCAGCAATATTAAATTTATAATTAATATGGTAATATTTGATAGTAATCTCAAACACCAATACAATGGCAGTAATTATATACGCAAACAATAAAACAACAATAATATTAGTGAACAACTCGTCGGCATTGATATTGCTATGCATGTAATCGTCATAATTAAAGTCAATGGGTTTTAGTAAATGTTCCCGGCGTACATTATCCTGGTCAACTATGCCCTCGATCATATCGTGATGGTAGAATAATCCAGTTTCGGCAGCCTGTTTAAACCTAAAATATTAATCAATTTTTTTAAATTATTTTTAATAGGATAACAATGTTTACTATTATTATATATTTATAATTTATACACGCTATTTAAATCAATAATTATAAATAAAATACACAAGTTTAATATATAAATATTAAAACATGATAAATAATTAATAAATACGCACGCAAATAAAATGTGCTTGGTATATTTATGATCACGGCGAACCAGGTAAAATAAAAACATGTTCATATAGACATCATTGCTTGCAGATAACCAGTCCATGTAATACCCCCTTAAAACATGCATTTTCTCCACATGAATACTGTGAGTGATCATGATAGCTTTACCATATAAAACATCGCGCAACATTTCCTGATTGTACATAAAATGCCACGCGTTAATATCTATCCCAATGTGTCGGCCATAAGCCACGGTTCTTTGGTATAACTCATTTAACCATAGTGGATTGTCTTGCATTTCCAAATCACCTTTGTCAACATTGGCCGCCACCCATAAACCATCCCTATTGGTCAACACATCATTCATTGAGTTAACAATAGCCCCGGGTTTAAACCTGATGTAGATGTTCAACAATACTGCAATAAAAGCTTGGGTAATCACGTATGCGTTCAATATCCATACGTAAACAATGATGATAATTGTAATGACACGTGACGTGGGCTGAGATGTTCCTGTATGCAGAAGTTTCTTAAAAATTTCTGACGATTGATTGGTCAACGATCGATACACCGCTTCCGTAGCCCTAAATACAGTGACCCGTTTTGTGGCGCCCCCTATGCGGCTGATAAGTAGGGCGTTCATCATAGCCACAAGTAGAATGCCCAACCAGATCTATACAATTGATTGTAAAAGTTATATAGTTTGGTCTAAATTCCAATAAAATATAACTAGTTTGCATTATAATAGATGTAATTTATTTTGATGTGTTGTTTACAGTGTATAAGAATAATATTGATTTTTAAATATTATGTATAACTTGCAAATCATAACTGAAGGTATTTTAAGCAAAATATGGTAAATTTTAGAATTTGACATTGTATTGTCATTATAAACGGATAATAATAACATAAACAAGGTGATGATTATATAAAAATTTAATTCACAATTGTTATTATGTATTTTATAAATTATATTTGAGAAATTTACTTGAATTACATAATAATTATTACTTGATATAAGTAGATAATACGTACATGATAATCAAATAATTTGAAAAATGCCAGATATGCGTGATCATTGTTTGATTTTAACCCAGATATAATTTCAATAAAATTGACCCCGCGGATAAAAACGCCGCTAAACCAGTTGCCGCCTTTGCTAACTAAATTATTTTGTGGGTACCTGTTCAGCAATGTTAATTGCTAAAAATATATTTAATTATGTTATAAATATAATAATTATAACATTATATTGTGCTTGTGTAAATACTGTGTCAGGCAAATAGTCCTCGGTTAAATTGATGCCCAGTTTTAGATGACACGTGATAAACTGGATAATTGTCAATCGTATACTATAGTCCATCCACTAGATATGTAATTTTAAAAATTGTAAGCTAGTTTAGTTAAAAGAAATAATTTAAATATTACATACATTTTTGCGTACTGACACAATATCGGTGTTATTAACATAATTATCATTGCAATAATATACTTGATTTTTAACTACTGTAAGTGTAGGTATTACCTTAATTAAATATTTAATATTTGAGCTTATTGTTAGCATTATTGTCTGAATAGATTTATTGTTAAATTAGTTATTGAATCTTAAACAAAATTAGATTGTATTAAAATTAGTATGTTATTATTTATTTATTAACAGGAATAATAATTTACATTCTTATTATTTCACATTTATTATATTAATATAAGTAACATGTTATTGTATTTCCTATTTACTGTACTATCAATCTATTCATCAAAATAATTTATAAAACACAAGTCTTTTATTTATTTTGAATATATTGTTTTAATAATAGTAAGAGTAT